CCGTCCAGCATCACATTGCTCAGCTTGACATCCCGATGCACCAGGCCCTTGCTATGCATAAACGCCAGGGCCATGCGCAGCTGCGTCATCAAACTCGCAACGACGGTCGAGGCGGCCAGATGCCGCGCCTTGCCGAGCCACTGCTGCAGATCCCCCTGTGTACACCACGGCTGCACCAGATAGGCGCTTGGGTGGCCATCATGCACGCCCACAAGCGCACCGAGGACTGGAACGATGTTTGGATGCTCAAGCTGGCGCATGGCGCGAAGCTCGCGCAGAAACGTACGACACTGATTTTGCTTGTGTTGCTGGGCAAATGCATACTCCTTGACAGCCAAATCCTGTTCTTGCTCAGGCCGATTTGGCAGCGCTGCACGAGCTTTGTACACCTTGTGGTTTTGGTTGTAATGGAGCTCAAGCTGACCCAGGCAGGAGAGCGTCAACACTTGGTCCACTTCGGTCATGGCCTCCAAGATCAGACTGGCTGGAAGGTCGGGGCCAAGTACTTTGCGGAGGTGTACACCCAATGCACTGTGCTCAGGGTGCAAAAAGATCAAGAGGGCCGGAAAGTGTTGGTGCAGTAGCTCTGCCAGTGCTGCCACCTGGTCCACCTGTGTTGCCTTCGATAGCTGCTGCTGCAACGTCGAAAGTCGTTCCTTCTCTTCATCCAGGTTGGCTTGTATACCAGCTCGCATGTCGTCTGACACAAAAGCCAAGAATGCTGTGGTTGCCTGAATTTTCTTCTGCAGCTCGGCCACCTCCTCATAAATGGATACAACTTGATCTGCGCTGCTCTGCGTGATGTCGCTTGCATATTCTTTGCATGCAGTCAGCACGGACAGCGTCTTGGCCTGCCAGTCGATCATATCGTGCAGCTGCTGCAACAGGGCTTGTGTCTCGTGCAGCACAAACGCCAGGTACCAGTCCTGATGCTCATAATCGTGTTCTGCTCTCCAGTCTGCGAGCTGCTCCAGCCCATTCTGTTTGGGCGAGCTGAGACGTTCGTGAGCCTGGCACAGCCGCTCCCACGCCTCGGGTAACGACTTGGCCGAAAGTGGTGCGCTCACATCCGAGCATTGTGCGCGTTGCCGTAACGTGTCCAGGCGATGCATCAAAGCAGTGTCGGTGGTATCCGCCTTTGCCACGGCGTCCAGAGCATCAATCAATGCCAGCACCCGCCGCTTGATATTGGTATCAGTGCTGGTAAGCCGTTCTTGGCGCTCGGGTTCCACATTGTGCAGCATGACGAGTTTGCCCAGAGCTGCTGCAAAGTCGGTGGGTGGCGTCTCAAACGCAGTCGTGGGCGCGGTGGCTGGAGCGGGACATTTTGCCAAGATGTTCTGGAGTTCAAGATATACTGGTTGGAGCTCAATCTGCTCTGTTAGACTTGCATCTTTTCA